CTTGCTCTTGCTCAGGCTGGTCTTGAACTCCTGAGCTCAAATGATCCGCCCGCCTCGGCCTCCCAGAGTGCTAGGATTACAGGCATGAGCCACCGTGCCCGGCCTCGCTGCCTATTTTTGTAAATAAAGTTTTATTGGCACACGGCCGTGCCCATGGCTTATGTGCTGTCTACAACTGCTGTTGCTCTACACGGCAGTTGAGTTGTTGTGACACAGACCATAGGGTTGCAAAGCATAGTTACAATCTGGCCCTTTATAGAAAAAAGCCAGCTAGCCTCTGCTCTAGACTCACCAATGACTGACATTTAACCAAACTGCTCTGTCACTCTCTCAGTACACACTCACATATTGTTACTGTTTCTTTGCTGAACATTTCAGAGTAAGCTCCCGACATCATGACCTATGCCTGATAACCTTAGCATGCATCTTTAGCAAGGACATAACCTAGGAGGGCTGTGGTCCATGAAAAACTGGCGCCAGGTCTGCCAAGCGTCCCAGCAAAGTCCTTTAAGCAGCTCTTCCAATCCAGGCTCACACTGACCTGTGTGTCTCCCAAGTCAGCTCTGATCCCTGCTTTTGAATAATTTCACCTCATCGGCTCTCTGTTTCTGGGATCAAGAGGCTTTCTCTCCTGGAGACAGCTATCTAAGGAGATCCAGCCAGGTAGGACAGCCCCAGAGAACTACCGCATAAGGAGATCCCAGTGAGAGAGGGCCCTTCACCCTGAATGTTCTGCCCTGGGGGAGGTGCAGTACTGCCTAGGTCCACCTGTAGCATCCAGAACGGTCCAGGTGAAGCCAGGGCCACCCCCTGCCTTGCTTTCCTGACCCCCATGCAGAAAGCAGTGAGCTAACCACTGATCTGGGGAGCCAGACAGGGAGGCTGGCTGCACATAACCTGGCAGCGCAGGATGCAGCCATGGCACAGGTGGGTACACGACACTACAGGACATGCCTCCCACCCTCACTGGGACCATAGGCTACCAGGAAGGAGGGCTGTGAAGGCCATGCTTCCGGTGCTGACCATGGCACAGGACGGTGAGGACGCCATCCCTCTGGGAGAAGCTTAGAATCAGCTGTGCATCTGGACATGGGTGGCCCCTCCAGTGTGGTCACGAGAGCAGAATACCCCGGACATGTCTGATGAAGGCCAACACGACCTCAGCCCAAACACAGCAGGGCTGTGCAGGTGACCACAATTACACTAACAAAATGTGTGTGCTGGGGCTTGGGAGGGCTGAGGACCTTCCCCTCAGACCAGCCTGCTCGGGTTCATGGCCAGCCCAGGGGAATGAGTGTCAATCCTGATCTCTGAGATCCTTCCAGCAACCCGTGAGATGCTCGCCCGGGGCCAGGACCTGGCTGGGGACGTGTACACGGGCTCTTCCGAGACCTGTGGTGTAGGAAGCTGACTGGGCCAGAGGCTAAACCATGGCGGGCTTTCATTTATTTTTGGGATTTAGGTGAATTTTATTTTCTAGTTCTAGGAGGTGGTTTTTTTTTGGGTGGGGGAGAACTGGTACTTGCCATATGTCTGTGCACCCCCTTGGGGAATGGTGTGAGAGAGGCTGGGAGCTGAGCAGCCCACCCCCCTCCACCATGACACCCAGGCTCCTCAAGCCATGATGTGGGTTCCTTGGGCCACACTGGTCAGTGTGAGCAGTCAGGGAGAAGACAGATGCTTGGCATGTATTTTGGAACATTCTTTAAATAAATCCGTGAGGACAGGATTGAAAGCACTCTTGAAGGTGGAAGGGGAGGCTTGCTCTGGGTCACTTCTCAAGGATGGCAATCTCATGCACTGCCAGGGACTGGGCTGGGCTGGGGCCATGCAGAGGGGTTAGAATGTTATAGCTTTTAGAAAGACCATGACAGTTTCCACCAGGACACGACTGTCCTCCATTGTTTGGGGTGCGCCCCACCTCCCTGGCTGGTTTCTCTGACTGCTTGATAGACAAGCCCATCTCTGGCTCCAACTTGGGTCCCTTCTCTCAGAATCCCCAAAGACCAAGGCCATTATTAGTCTTCCATGTCCAGTGGGAAACATAGGCGCCAATATTTTCACAAGAAGCCATATTACCTTCTGGTTGACAAAGTCACCTCACTACTTTCTCACAAACCACAGTCCCCTGGAGAGCAGGAGCCCCACACAGACCACTCTCAGAGGAACACCAAGGGGCAGAGAGTGTGGAGCGGGGAGATGGGCATGAGGAAGTAGACTAACCTGAATGCAGGGCTAGCTGTGGGGCTGGGGCTACCACCTGTGTCCAGAGGCCAAGTGGCAGACACAGATTGGATGGAAGCTGCTGTCGGCTGCTGGGGGCCCCACTGCATGGCTGGGGACGAAGTCTCCATGGTGGTAGGTTCAAGGCTCTGAGGAGCCCAGGTTCCGAGTGGTCCCTCCAGGTAAGTCAGGCTGCCCATTTGGGGTGACAGCTGGGCCAGGACACATGGTGTGGTCCAGTGCTGGGGGCTGGTACTCCAGCCAGAGGACAAACCACAGGATGGTCACTGAAGCCAGCTGAGCAGAGACCAGGGGGATCTGGTGCAGCCCAATGGACACCTGGTTCCCCAGAGCTCACTGTAGAGCATTCCTGTCTAGCTTGGGGACCTAGAGGGTGAAGAGTCCGCAGACTGGAGCCTTGAAAGGGCCCAAGCAGAGCGGACGCCACAGGCAGAGGTGGCAGCAGGAGATGCTGGTCCACAGTGCCAGGGGTATCTCCTGCTGGGTGTTCTTGGGCAGCATGGACCGCAGCTGTTATGCTCGTCTATCCGTGGTGCTGATTCCGAGGACATCAGGTAGTTCATAAAAATGGCCTGTAGCTCCACAGAGCCTCAAGGAGTTTCCACACCAGCCGGTGTCTTGATCCAAAGAGATTATCTGGAGTGAGAAAGGTCTCTTGCCGGCTTGGCGTTCCCATATCTGACAGGTTGATTTCCTGGGCACACGGCCCCAGACCTCGTCTCAATTGGATGCGGAAAGAGGAGGAGTGTGCGGCACAGACTCCAGTCACAGGTTCCCTGTGCTCAGGGCTTCTTCCGTGGGTGGCGTTTCCGATGGCGAATGAGACAGGAGCTGTAGGCAAAGGCTTTCCCACATTCCTTACATTCATAAGGCTTCTCTCCAGTGTGCGTCTTCTGGTGTTTCAGGAGATTGGAGCCGCAGTTAAAGGCTTTCCCGCACTCCCCGCATTTGAAGGGCTTCTCTCCAGTATGAATTCTCTGATGCTTAGTGACGTCGGAACTATGCCGGAAGGTCTTCCCACACTGATCACACTTAAAGGGCTTCTCTCCGGTGTGCACTCTCTGATGGCGGATGTGATCTGTCTTGTGCTTAAAGATTCGTCCACATTCACTACATTCATAAGGTTTCTTCCTCTGAAAAGGAATGAACACGGGAACTCCCTCAAAGTCATCTTTAAAGGAAGCATCGAAGGCGTCAAAGATGTGTGCTTCATCTTCCGGACTCAGGCTGGGCCCCTTACTGTGTCTTCTGGCCACCGCAGACCTCTTGTTTGGCTTCTTTCCCCCAGAGGCTCGCTCTTCTGTGGCGGTGTCTTTCTGTACGTCTGCCTCCTCCCTTGGGGTCTGTGTCTTCTTTCTTCTGCCTGCAGGCTTCTCCATCTCTCTCTGCTCCCTGGAAGCTGCTTGGACTAAGGGCCTGCAGCCTGAGCTGCAGGAAGCCAGGGGCTACTGGCACCTCCCTCCCAGGCTCTGCTTGACCAGGAACTCCCCATTTTCCCAGCACGTGACTGACGCTTCGTGCCAGGAAGGAAAGAGTGGCCTGTCCTTGCGCTGCTGGAGGGAAGCAAGATCACAAACATCAGATTAACATGTCTTTCAGAGGCTGCACAATCAAGGGGCAGGACGGCAAGTGCTGGGAAGGGGACATGGTGGGGGGCGTGGCCCCTCCCTCCCCATGTGTTCCCCAATGAGCATCTAAACTGAATTCCCGATCTCCCCAAAGCCCTAAGTCACTTTCCCCAATTTTCTTCCTCTCGGTGAGCGGCATCACCGCTCACTCAGCTGCTGACCAAGGAATCCTTACTGCTCTGCCAGGGGACAGGTCTGCACACTGCTGTGGCTGCATTAGGATCTAACAGGCACATGGACCAACATCTGCCCTGTGGTGTCCCATCTCCACATCCCCAAATCTGTCTTGTTCCTGCCAGAGTCTAACTCCGCCTCCACTGTCCTGTGCTTAGGGCCAGTCACATACTTTGGAACCACAGGCTGCAGGAGCTCATGCCCATGGGAGGGGCCTCCTGGAGCCTGGACTCCCAGCTGGCACACACAGCAAGCAAGCCCCGTCATATCACACCCCTGTGCAGACCCTGACAGCCTCCCTCAGATTCATAGACACTACATGCCTCTCCCCTGGTGACCCCCTCGTCACCCCCACCTTCTTTGGGTTCCCCAAACACACCCAATCCTTCCTGCCTCTGTGCTGGGCTCCCCCCACCCCGTCTTCCAGAGCTCTGCCCCAATGGCCTCTTCTCGGAGACAATCCTGACCTGGTGACATGCTCCCCCAACGCTGTCCCCCGTTTCCCAGCACTATTTTTCCTCCCAGCACTTAACATGGGCTAAACCCTTTGTTATTTTTTTAACTAAACATGGCTTGTTCGCTGTGCTATCTATCCCAATGCTTCCCTACAGCTCCTGGTACATGGAAGCTCCTCATTATATATTTGTTCAATGTCTGAAAAATTAAGACAATGCTATCACTTAGCATGTCCCCTGTTCCAAGCACTTAAGGAGTATCAATATATTTAATCCACATCTTCACCACCATTTACCCAGGTCACATGAGAGCGAGTGACAGCACCTGGTCCCTGGTACAGCCCCTTCTCTGCAGCCCAGGCAAATTCTTACCTGGACTCAGGGTCAAAGCCCCAGGTGACCACTAACCAGGACCTGTTGGCATTGTCTGAACCTTATTCCACACAAATGTCTTTCATGAGCTCTGAAGGGGAGGGAAAGATCATTCCGTCTAACAGTATCCTGATCTCACCACAAATTCAAATAAGAATTAGCCGATCCCAGCGATAGGAAGTGACTGGTAAGGCCTAGGTGTCTATAGAAGCATCACTCTGCATGACTGTCTCTTTTCTGTATCATTTCTGAGCTTCCTGACCTGCCTCTTTGTCTCAGTGCTAACTAATGAAATTCTAGCATAAAGCCTCGAAAAACTTCTGGCTCTTTTAACCGATAGTGAAAGAAATCTCCATGAGATTAGGAGAAAGTACTGTTCCCTTTGCAATGGCAAGGAAAGCAGATTGTGGTCTGACTCCTCAAACTACCCTGAAGAAGGTGTTCTTAGCAAGGAAGCCTCGTGTCCTGGGATGGTTACTCTTGTCCTCTAGGAGGTCCACAATCCTGACAGCTGTCTTACTCAAAGATGTGGTGTTCTAAGTAATAATATTCCAAATTCTTTGTATTAGTTCTTGGTCAACCAGGCTGCAGTGTGAGGCTGGGGTCGAGCTTTAGTAGGAAATGGAACTGAGACACAAATGACATATGCTTTAATGCATAAATACTTCAAATTCTCTTTGTTAAGTCGAGAGGGGAATGCTTGGCCTTCCCTCTTCTCTCCCCATGTGTGGAAGTAATGCATAAAATGCCTGTACAAATTTCCTATCTCAACAAGGAGTCTGAAAGTCTGGTGTTTTCTAAATGAAAATGTTTAGATAAACTTGATTCAGTTTCAGGCCAACATCACTTTCTGAGGGCTCTATCTGGAGGTAGCTTCTGGGAGGAGGTGGTTCTCAGCATTGGGTAGGAGCCAGAACTGAAGATAAAGGAAGGTCATCTGTGCTGAGGGGAAGATGCAGGAATCAGGTGGCAGCTCTGCTGGGATGGGCAGAGAATGACAAGCCCAGTCAACCACGCTGGAGTCCGAGGCAGGGAGTCTAGCTTTAGTAGGAAAGAGAGGTAAAAACCCAGGACCAATACAAAAGGGCAAACAATCCCTATGCTTCACATGGTGGGGGCCGAACTGTAGGCATCCGCTGCTCTCCTATCAGGTTCTATATTAAGTCAACTCGATGGAGAGGAGCGGTCTGTGAACCCACGGAGCCTGACACCTGCTAGCCCCGGGCCTGTGGGGATCCTCTGTACTCCCTAGCACTGTGCCCTCCACCAGGACACCTGTCATTGGTCACTAACGTGCCAGTTTCCTTATGAGGCAGGGATTTCTGCGCGCAACGATCATGTCTTTTTCATCCCCAGATCCCTGTCACATACTGTGCTCAGGAAACATTCTTGATAATAGTCTTGTCTGCCCAACTCAAGCTTGCAGGTGCCTAAGGGCAGAGACTGGAATTCTCACTTCGCTATCCATTGTGCACGCTGAGAAATAAAATACTTGTTAAAAACAGTGGACCACCGTGATCGTCTTCTTGGCCTCCTCATTTCACAGGCTTGCAGACATGAGTGACTGCTACAGCTACACATACAACTGAACCCACACTTGCATAGCAAATGAGAGCCCCAGCCTAAAGGCTAGGGTTCTGGTTCTGCTGCACTTCAGTATAGCTTCGTTACCTCCCCGGGCCGAGGCCTTTTCACTTGTAATCGCTGGGTATCCATCAGCAGTGGGGCTTCCCAAGAAACCTCACCCTATCTCCTCCCTCCTACTGCCTCCAGGAACCAGGGTGTCAGGGAGAGACTGCGTTATTGGTGGGCTTGCGACTCAGGGCTCAACAGCCTGTCGGGTCCACAGCCCGCCAGGTAGCTGTGTCAAAGCCTACGACACAAGGCCTTTCAAACCCGGCAGAGAAGAGGGACCCACCAGGGTCTCCCGCGCTCCTGGAAGAGTGGCACGCCCCCCACCAACCACAGATCCGCGCCCCGCGTGCGCAGCGGAGACAGCCTCGGACCGTCCGCCTTTCCTGCCTGGAGCGCCGCGGGCAGAGGCTGAGGGGACGCGGCTGCCCCCGCAGCAGAGCCCGTCCTGACGCCGCACGTCCCGGACCCGACGCAGCAGGAGCCCAGAAGTACCTGGTTGGAGAAGCTATAACGGAACGAGGCGCGGACGAGGACGGCCGGAAAGTGGGCGGGGCAGGCGCGCCCTCGCAGGGGCCGGCGGCGGGAGAGGCGCGCGGGCCTCGCTGCAGCCACTCCCGCCTACCGCGCCGGCCCTCTCACGGCAGTCCCGCCGCTGAGCGGGACCCTGGCGCCCGCAGGAAGCCCCCAGCCGCCGACACGCCCCTTCCGGGGCCGCTCTAGCAGCTGAGGCCCCGAGCTCTCGGTGGTGGTGCGTGGCTCAGAGCTCCGCCGCTCCCCGGACCCGCTCCCCCATGGTCCCTCCCCTCCCGGCTCTGCTCCGCCCCCCCCTCCCCCGGCCCCGGCCCGCCCCTCCGCGAACAGAGCGGCTCCGGGATCCCGGGAGAGCGGTGGTGGACATGGTGGGGTGCAACTTGGCTTGGTGGACGCTCCCCGCCGCCGGTCCCACCTGCGCGGCACCTTCGGAAGACCCTGACGGCCCCCGCGCCTACTAGCCGAGCGACGCTCCCGCCGCCCTGCGTGGCCGAGAGTCCCAGAGCTCGCGCCACCCGTCCTGTGTCCCCCGCGCCCCCTCCGGCTTCGTGCCCCACCCCTCGCGCACTGCACCTGCGCCTCCACCGCTCCCCCATCATCCCCCATAGTGCCTGGGTCCCTGCTCGGCAGGGCTGCTGCCTCCCCTTTCATGTTCACGCCCTCTGTGGCTTTGCTTCCTGAACTTGCTCATAGTCAGAATTACCTTGGAATCCTTTTTAAAAAGGGATTTTCAGGTGTCATCCAAGAACTGGTAAAACAATGCCATTGGGGTTGAACCTGGTAACCCATAGTAACCCGTGATTCTAGAAGCTTCCCAGTGATTTTGATGGTCAGTCAGGATTAAGTGTCACCAGATGGCACACTCTCCTGGGTGCAGTGTGTGCAACTCGGGCTGTTCATTTGTAACACCTGAGAGCTTCACAAAGTGCTGCCCAGGCCCCTCCTGCACAGATTCGAGTTTAACTCTGGGGTGGGGGGCACCTATGGGATATTTTTCGAAAGCACGCTGGACGACTCTGGAAGAAGCCAGGGTGCAGACTGCTGTTTCAGATGCAGGCCAGGGACTGCCTGAGCAGGTGTGTCGGGAGGCTGTCCTCACAGAGGGAGGAGGAGGCAGAACAACTGAGCCTTCCAGCTTAATCATTCTTCCAAGAAACATTGATTTCTTACCTGTGGGCATGTTCCTTAATTATATGTCACACAAATTTAATTAGAAAAACTAACATCTGCTCCTCGGCTTACCACCTATGACAAGGCGTTGGTGGTAAGTGCATTCATTCTTCAATCACACGCACTTTTCCAAATGTTTGTCCACTTACAGACTTATCTGGAGGTGACTTATTAGGCAAAGGAAGCTTCCTTCCAGTATAGATTCACTCTCAGATGCACCTGTGCTCAGAGGCTGTGGCATTTCTGTATAGCTCCTCTATGTTAAATTTAAAAATCCACTCCCAATATAATTGTAAGGTTTCTCTAACATGCATATTTTCTGTGTGGATCCTCTGGTGTTGATAACAGATAATCTAGAATGGAAGCCTTCCCTGCATTCATCGCACTCAAAGTGTGAATTTTCAGATGTTGGGATTTCACTGGTTTCTCTGTCGGATGAATCCTCTTATGTGGAATGAGATCCAAGTCCGACTGAAGGT